GTTCTAGACACACGTCACCCAGCAGCACTGACTCACACCAACTTCCCTGCCACTTCTGGGAGCCTTTTGGAAAAGCATTTGGAATGGCTATACTTCTCAGTTTCTCTGTTGATACTAATTTTCTTTCTTCTTTTTTTTAATGGCAGAGAAGGTGGAACAGGACAAATGAAATGGCTCAGGAGGGACCTCATTCCAGAGGACCCACGGCAGCCCAGCTTCGGGGCCCCTGGAAAGGAGCGAGGGATCCAGGCTTCCTGGAGCTCATCTCTTGGGGGTGGGCACGTTGCCATGGTGGTCATCCAGGGACATTCAGCAGCCGACACAAAGCTGAAATATAGGCAACCAGGCCCAAGATGGGCCACATGCGTTCCATGCCAATCTTGGCTTTAACCATTAATAATTTAAGAAAAAGAAATAGCTCTTAGAGAAGCCAGCCCAGCCTTTAAAATAGGGATGAGGTAATCACAATTCTTCAGAGATTGGTTTTCTTACAAGATTCACAGACCATTCCAGCCAGAAGGGACCTCAGAGATCATCTGGCCCAATCCTCTCACTGCTGAGGCTCTGAGAGGTCGGGGGCCGGTCACCTGGCCAGGTAACAGCCTACGAGGGGCCAGAGCCAGTGGTCAGCCTGTGGCCCTCCACCCCAGCCCGCCTTCCAAGGAACCCTCAACCACTGCCAAGCCTGATTTCTTCTTCAAATTAAGCCTGACCTGAGCTATTTATTCACTTGAAATATAAGCTCATGGAAAGTCTGATTTCTCAATCCAAGGCACGAAACTGCGTCCAGGATCCCGTAACTCCAAACGGACTCAGAATTCGGCCCCGCAGTCCTAAGGCTGTTGGGTGTCTGACCACAGTTAGCTCACGGTCCCCGCCATAATCGCTTACTGAATACAGTTATTTTAAGCTTAGTCTAAAGCAACCTATTTAGAGTTTTTCTGGATGGAATGAAGTTACTCAAATGCTTGGCTTTTGACACTGTTAACGTACGAATTTTATGAAACCTTAATACGTTAACTCTTGAGCAAAACCAACAGAACAATAAAAGGAGATAACCAACCAGAATGAGCAAAGCCTTATAAACTGCTCAAAAGTCATCAGAGCCCATGGTTCTTCCCCAGGAATGCGGGGCTGGGCTCCACCTTCAGAGGCCCTCCCTCATCAGTCCTGGGGTGAGGCCAGGACGGGGAGCTCCTGGATCCCCACTGCGCTTGCAGGTCTCTGGGCTACTCTGAGCTGCTGTTTGGGGCAGGGTCGGCTCCTGGGGTGTGTACTAGGAGGAGAAACAGACCAGGCTTCCGAGGTTTAGGGAGTCTTTCTCAGGCCTCTTTCCTGGCTTCTTGTCCATTTTTAGCAGGGCTCTGCAGCGCTGCACATCCTGGCTGATTTTCTGGAATGCCTGGGAGTCCAGAGGGGCCTTTCTCTCCCCACGGGCCACTTGAGGCCCGGGGCTCTGGTTTGGAAACATCTTCACTACAGCCCCTTCAGCTCTTGTTTTTCTTCAGCAAGGGCTGCATCGATGGCCACTGGAAGCAACCCTGTCCTCCAACTCCTGTGTCTGTGGGGTGAGAGCTGTGATGTGTCCTGTGTTTCATCTCCAGGCCGTGGCCATCTGGAGCACTGTTTATTCCAGCTCTGAGCTGCAGCTTAGCTGGGGTTGGCTTATAATCTCAGTTTCTCTGTCGACAGCACAGCATGGTGATTATGAATGGGCTCTGGGCCACATGCACGGGTTCAAGCCCTGGGCAAGGTACTGCTCTGCTCTGTGACTCTGTTTCCGGCTATAACACGGGAGGATGACAGCACACCCTTCGGAGGACTGCTGGGAGGGTCAGTGAGCTCCTATAGGCCTGGCACAGAATAAGCACTAAATATACGTCAGCCCTCACTGTTGTGCTATTTTTAATTACTATTCCTTTTTTGTAATCTCCTGATCAGTAAAGAGTTTTTGCTTTAAACTAAACTGTTAACGGAGGAAGACGACAGATTCTTGTTCTCTAGTATAACTGTACACTTTCCCTGACAGCAGCACTGATTTCTGAAATAGATGATTTGCCCTCATTTCCAGAACTGTGATTAGAGATACTCTCTGAAGTCTCCGTTAAACAGCTTACAGATAAAAGTGTTTTCTCTTGAACGGTGACACATTCCCCCATCCAAAGACCCACCAAGTGCTGCTCGCCTGGCCGGGGACCTCCAGTCTGACAGTGTTTCCTGCCTCCCCTCGCCCTCACTCTCTGCTCCAGACAAGCCCTCCTTGTGATCTTGGAAATCATGGAGCCTGCTCCGTCTCTGGAGATCCTTCACCACGTGTTCACAGGGCCTGCTTGAACTTCAGGCCTCTAGTCAAACGGTACCTCCTCCAAAGGCCTCCCCTGTCTGCCCCAGCTAAAACGGCACTCCTGCCAACCCTCTCAACCAGCACAGGCGGCCAGTTTACCTCATTTAACAATGACACCAAGTGACCTGCTCGAGGGCAGGGCTGCGACTGACTGAAGTCTGCTGGCTCCCAGGCTCCTGTCCTCAGAGATGCCTCTGGGAAGTCAAGGGCAGAGAGTCACATGAGGGGGGGCCTTGGGGGCAGCAAAAGCAAAGCCTTCCATTAAGGGAAGACTGGATGGCCATGGATCTCAGCAGCTCTTGTTTCTTCATTCATTCATTCATTCATACATTCATTCATTCATTCATCATCCATCCACCAGGTGCCTCCTATGTGCCAGGGAGACAGACAAACAAACAAGCAGTACCAGACACACTGCAGAGCTCAATAAACATCTGCAGAAAGAAGGGGGAAAGATGAGACCAGCCTCACACCCTCTCCATCTCTCCCTCCTTTCAAGGCCGCCACGCTCACCCTTCTGTGACTGCCCCCCGCTGGCTCTCCCAGGAGCCTGCTCTGGGCCTGATGATGGCCACTGGGAGAGGACCTGTTCCCTCCACACGGTGACTGTTAACGATTCTGCCAACGCCAAAGCTTGCTGAGTGACTCCACCTCACAGGCAATAAATCAGGTGCTCAAACGGTTACCCAGGACCCCATGCAGCGAGACTACAAACAGTAACAGCTGGCTTGTTTTTGACAAAAATACGCAATACGCTTTTTTAGTCATCACTTCACACTCAGACTACTGCAGCAGCTCTAACTCTGCACCCTGGTGCATTCTGTACCCCACCACTAGGTTAGTCCTACACCAGGCTTTCTTTGAGCTGCCGGGCTTCAAGAATGACCGAGTACATAGCACAGCCCTCCTTTGCTGCCCTGAGACTCGGCGCCACCAGCCTGGGTCACTCCTGCTGCCCTCCCCAAATGTCCCCAGCCATACCAGTCTACTCAGCACCTCCCAAACAAGGTTTCGCTCAGGCTGTTCCCCACTCCACCTAGGATGCACTTCCTGGCCCTCTGGAAACTTCTTTTACCCTGCCTGACCTCTCTTCCTCAGCCTCAGAGTTAAGGACTGGGTAGGCTCTGAGGAAAGCTGTCTGGATTCAAGAGGAACTCAGTTCCTCTTTCCGTAAAATGGGAATGATAGCAGAGGCTCCCTCCTCACGAGGCTGTGAAGACCCACTGGGTACAGCCACACCTGTAACACACCTGGCACACGGACTGGGGCACGGAGTGGGCACTCAAAAGGTGCATTTTCATGCCCATTCCTGAGTCTCTGCGGGATCACTTCTCTCCCCGATAACTCTCCTCCACTTTCTCACTAGGCTGTTTCCCCACGGCGGAGACTGGGCTCCCTGCTCCTGTGTTGGTGAAATACACAACCTCCAATTTCGCCAACACCACTCTGGCACCTTCTTCTCCATGTGAGCCAAACTGTCCCTGGCCCTAGTTGGGCATGCTGGACCAAACTCCTACAAAGAAAATCTAGACCAGCCCCTTGCCATGGGCTCCCCTCTCCCCGTCTCCATGCACTGCCTCCGGTGAGGAGGCAGAGCAGAGCGTGGCCCCAGCCAAGTGCACTGCCAAGCGAGGCTGGCGGGTCCCTCCACCGCTGGATTGGCCGCAGCTGAACTCCGTATTGTTTTTCCACATGGTCTCGCTGACTGGAGAGGAGAAGCATCCCTCTGGAAGGTCCCGCGAGACAGTTAGACGATTACTCCACCCTTCACCCCATCACCACCGCCTCCCCTGCCAGGAAGGGTCTTGTTAATACAGAAAAGATGCGGAAGGAGGGAGAAGGGGTCCACTTCTTCCTCATTCCTAACGCGGCTGCCCCTCTGCCTCTGCCGATTTCCTGATCCAAAGCCCCGTTAAGCTTATTCAAAAAGAGCCACTTTCATTTTTGCAGAGTTGGCCCAAACCACGGGAAGAAAGGCAGGCAGCCACACCGCCGCCGCGTCTGCGGTACGAAACCGGTGCCCGGTCAGGGAGACCACCTGGAGGAGTGGGGAGCGGATGGGAAACCCTGGTCCTTTCAATAAAAGTGAAGTTTTCACGGACAGGATCCATAATAAATGAATGCATGGTTAATTTTAAGGGAGGATAGTAGGGGGAGAAATGCAGAAAAGTAGAAGGAAGGGAAAGCGACAGAAATGAGTCCTTGTGGTCCCAACGCCTCCGGCTCGCTCCGCGCGAGACACCTTTCCCAGTCCCCAACTTCTCTCCTCCCTTTGTGCCCACATTCCTTGTTTGTCCTCCGGTCCCTGGCGCGGTGTGGTTCCCGGCGGGGCACTCAGCAGCCGGCCACCGGGCGGGACGCCCCGACACCCCGGCTCTGGGCTGCGGGACAGAGCGTGTCGGGCACCTGCCGGGCGTGGCACCCACCCCGGTCTGGGCGCAAAGCTTGGTTTCCAGGGAGCCCGCGGAACGCTGCCACCCCAGGGGTCGGTGCCCTCCTCTTCCAGCCAGTAGGTGCCCTGAACACCCTGCAGCGCCTCGCTGCCCCTCGGCTTGCCCGTCCGTCCCGCGGGGACAGGTCAGGGCTGGGATGGCGACACTGGGGAGCTCCCTGGGGCGCAACGCGCCGCGGGGCCGGGGTCGCCGCCCGCAGGTACCTTGGCCGCAGGCGCCACGCTGCAGGACGATGACCGGTGGCTGGTGCAGCCTTTCGGAGCGGCGGCTGGCGGCACGCAGCTGGCACGGGTTAGCGTAGGTGTTGGCGTCGCTGCCGCACACCGGCTCGTTGCTGGCGCAAACGCAGAGGCCGGCCTGCGCGCGCCGCCGCACGGTGGCCGAGGCCGGGACCCCGAAGGACACCACGCACTGCAGCCCCTCGCCGCACGGGCCCTCCTGCAGGCCGCACTCAGCCCCCTCGGGCGCGCCGCACACCTCGCAGCAGCCGCACGCGTCGCGGACACGGCCGCCCTCGCAGTGTGCCGGC